AAAGGTTGGAAATGTCTGCCCACCACTACTGAGCTGGGGCACTCAGCTGTGGCTATGACCGAGGGCGTGCGCTTGTGCACGGCTCCACAGCGCAGCTCTCTCTCGGGGGCTGCCTCCCAGGACCTGCACACAACGACCCGTTCCAGAGATGCCCCAGCTGAGAAAGCAATCGTGCTTTCTCTCTTTCATACAGATCTGGGGGGACGGATTTAACTCACCAAGGGAAAACAGGCTGCTTTAAGTGTTATTTATTTAAATGCTCACTATCCATACTACTTCATATGCTTACTGTTGTTGTTGTTGTTGTTAGTCGTGAAGTCCTGTCCAACCCATCGCGACCCCATGGACAGCATTCCTCCAGGCCTTCCTGTCCTCCACCATCCTCGGAGTCCACCCAAGCCCACACCCACTGCCCCAGTGACCCCATCCAGCCACCTCATCCTCTGCCGTCCCCTCCTCCTTTTGCCATCAATCATTCCCAGCATTAGGCTCTTCTCCAGGGAGTCCTTCCTTCTCATTAGGTGGCCAAAGTATTTGAGTTTCATCTTCAGGATCTGGCCTTCTAAAGAGCAGTCGGGGTTGATCTCCTCCAGGACTGACTGGTTTGATCGCCTTGCGGTCCAAGGGACTCGCAGGAGTCTCCGCCAGCACCACAATTCAAAGGCCTCAATCCTTTGGTGCTCAGCCTTCCTTATGGTCCAACTTTCACAGCCATACATTGCAACTGGGAAAACCATCGCCTTGACTATACGCACTTTTGTTGGCAGGGTGATGTCTCTGCTTTTTAGTATGCTGTCTAGATTTGCCATAGCTTTCCTCCCCAGGAGCAAGCTTAATCTCTTGGCTGCATGGTGCAAAACTGGCTAAGGACCCATGCTGATTTGCAATTAAATAGAGCAGGGATTAGGTCCCTTTGGTTGGATTTGGCCTGGGACTTTTTATCTCCCAGGTGATCAGAGACAAGAGGGCACTTCAGTGTGTTTAGCATTCCCTGCACAGAACTCAGGCCCGGGAATTCTTGTGTTGAAAGGAGCGCTGTGCTGCTGGCACAGAAACTCCTGTGCTGGGTGTTATTCCTTGGTGGGCTGCGTAAGATTGGGCAGCGTTTTGCATGCTTGCGGGGAAGACGTCCAGCTGGGCGAGAGCAGCTTCTGGCACTGCCCACTGGCTTTCTGTGGTGTTGGCCCGGCCCCGTGCACTTCCCCTGCCCCCATGGCCCTTCCCACAGTGGGGTCTTTCCGCTGGGCTGAAAGAAGGTTCTCCAGAAAGAGAGCACTATTCACACGTTGCTTCGTTTTCAGAGGCAGGCCTTGGATCTCCTTGCCGCATTGTGCTTGCGTTCTGTTTTGACGTCCGCGAGGATTGCTGCAGGGTCTCGTGACCAGCAGCGTGGAAGTATGAAAATATAGGGACCTGTGAATGTGCAGTTTTGTGCTCTCTTCTCAGGCATTGCTTTTGCCCTTCCTCCTCCTGCCTTCACCCTGCCTCATCCTCTCAAAAACGATGCAGCAAGCCAGATTAAAGGTATATTACTTGCAGGTCAAAGCAAGGTTGATAATCACTAGGGAGACTAGAGCAGTGTGCTTTCACCAGGTAAAAATGAAACGCCTAGCTTGGGCAGGTGGAGTGTAAATATCTGTATTGGAAGAAAGATAAAATTTCGCCCTTTGTTTAGGTGGAAGAGCCTCCATTAACTCCGGATGGCTGCCAGAAGCATTGCTTTAAATATATATTTTAGCAGGGCAGTCCTGTGCCCTCTCTCTGAGAAGTCCAGCGATGTTCAGTCGGGCTTACTCCTTAGTATCATCATTTATTATTGCAGTCTTACTGGGAGGGCAAAGCATACTCGCATCCGGGTTGCTTGGTTTTCACCCAGGGCACAAATCTGGAGGTTCAGGCAGAGCCTAGGCAGGCCAAAGAGGTCAGCCAGCACAGAAAGGACTGCATGGGGGTGGGGGGGGTCCACTCTCAGGGAGGAGGACCAGCCTCGGAGCAGGAGGCTTTCCAAGGAGCAAGGTGGCGAGGGGCACCAGCACAGGAGGCAGGAGGCTCCTCAGCTTCCCTTCCATGCCTGAGGGCAAAGGCTTTGATGGCCCACTGTAGAGCGCCCTTGATGGGATGCCCACAGCCCTCCAAGATCGGGAGGTTACAGGCAGCCATGTCGACTTGAGCTGCTGGTTGTTCTTTCAGGGACATGCAGTAAATCCATTTCTAATCTAAAATTCCATTTTCTTGTTTTCTGAGAGAGAGAGAGAGAGAGTCATTTAGCCGCCACACACAGCCCCAAATCCAGCTGGCCTTAGTTCTCTGGGTGGGGGGTGCAACCAAGGAGTGCTCTGCCTCCGCTCCAGAGTCCTGGGGGACCTGGTACTGTGCTCTTTCCACCGGGGGAAAAGGGAGCACGGGGTGCATTATTTGGCAATGGCTCAGGTTGAATTCCATACCTCCCCGGGCGTGATGCTTTTCGGGGAAACGGTGCCGTCCCCCAGTGCCCCTCGCTCCCCTACGGAAGCTGGCATGCTGGAGCATCTCGATATGAATGGGCCCACTGAGGATGGGCTTTGGGGGTGGTTTGCAAGCTACCTGCAACCCTAAAACGGCACATGGATTCTGGGTGGCTTGCCAGCTACCCCAACAACCCACCCTCCCTGGATTCACCTGTAGTGAGAAATTGTGGTGGGCTGCAGGGTCCACATGAGCCAGATTGTTGAGGCCATGCCCAGTATGGCCGTCTGTCTTGATTCCTGCAGCGTTCATGCCTCAGCATGAAGGCATTCCACCAGCTCTCTCCACTTGACCAGGTTCCCTGTGTACACTTTCCCTCTCCCTTAAAGCCAAGCACTCCCAGCTCTGCCATGTGGGTCACGGAAGCACCAACACACACTGGTGTCCCCTTCCAGATGTCTCTGGCATGTGCATTCTCTGTTATGGGGTCCCCCTTCGCACCCCTGAAACGTTTCTCCGCCCGTTCCCAAGGAATTGCTCATTCTGACCCGGAGGCTTCCTAGCTCATTTTCCTCCAGGGTGCCGTTGAAAAGCTGCAGTGCCGCTTTTTTGATAAGTGCTGGCAGTCTGGCTCAAGCGCAACTTGTTCCTTTGTCCTTGGTTTTAATCATTAAAGTACAAACCAAAACAAACACCTGGTCTCTGATGGCTCATCTGAACAAAGAAGGGGCTGCAGAAAGATTTTTACCTGTGGTAGTCTGATGAGTAATCGTCTTTTTTGGCTGAAGCACAAAGGTAAAAAGCAACATACTGCAGAAAGTAATCCTGTGGCTTGTCTGAGGCACTCTTTTGCCATTTTGAAAGAATTCTTCAAGGTGCAGCACAGGAAGTTAAGCATTAGGGTTGGGTGCTGGATCTGGGAGAGCTGTTCCCATGTCACGCATGTGGGTTTTGCCTGCACTCTGTGCTTCGTTTGGATTTCAGGGAAAGCAAAAGCTTCTGCTTTATTTCCCCCCACTGGCGATGAAGCTCCGCTGCTGATTCAAGCCCCCCATTCCCCAACAAGCAGGCTTGCGGAGTATTTTGTGAGAGAGAGGAAAGGCCGACTGCAGGCACCCTCTTCTGCCTCTTGCCAGTTCAGTCGGAGCGGGATGAGTTGAGGATTTCTGCAAGAGGGGCCCTCTTCATCTCCCAGCGTGTTTACAGGGATTGGAAATATGGAGAGAGTCGGGAGCTATCCCAGACGTCCTGCTTTTGAAAACTAGTCCCAACAGTTGATGCCACCTGGGCAGCTTGTTTTGGCCCAGGTGGCCACCTTGTAAATACCTAACATGAGTGGACTGTCTGAACACAGCCGGAATTTGCCGCGAATCCGGCGTGGGTCCGTTACCTCACGGGGTCCGCGAACCCCGTTCTGCACCCTCTCCTGCAGCTGCGCTGCAGATCAATCTGCTCAGCCGTCTCCCACCATCCGCGGCCCTTCTGGTTCAGTTCTTTTCACGGACCTTGAAGGGGTTGGTAGACTGCAGTTTATTTACAGCTGCTGTTAATCTGAAAACATATGGCACTCAGTGCTGTGGTGCACATGAATCTGATGGATTTGGCAGGCCTGCTGACCTTACGTGGCTAATGCTGTGTCTTTCGCTCTGTCCTGACACTGTTTCATTATAACTTCTTGCTGGTGGCACGTCGGTCCCATAGCCGGTGGAGGAGTGAAGACGCATTAACCTCCCAGTCATTTAATGGGGCTCTGGAACTGAAGCTGCAGTGGGGGCTCATTATATTTAACCGTTGATGCACTGCTTTTTTATATTCCTACAGTGGGTCGGAAATTTGCAAAACGCAGTAGCTTGATTGTATACCCTGTACCGTTTGAAAATTATAACCACGACAAACAAATGGAACCGAGGCTGGAGGTGGGCTGGACCAGGAGGGAACAGCTTGAAACCGTTGTAAAACGCTGAGCCCGCCCACCCCACCCCCCCCACACACAAAATGAATGCAGGGGTGAGATGACGGCATTTGCCTGCAGGCCGTCCCACGCAGGGCAGTTGGTCATGGTTGCCTTGGTGGAGGACAGGTGTGTGAGGCAGCTTCAGGTTTCCCCCTTCCTCTCTGCTAACACCAGCAGCAGCAAGGAAGGCACAGTCCCTACCTGTGGTGGGGGGAGCCTCAAAACCTTCTTAGCAGTCTTCGCGAAGAAGGCTATTTCCCCATTGCTGATAATGGGGAGGAAACAGCAGCCTGCGCTGGGATACCTGGGAGGGAGGTGAGCTTCAGTGCCTTTCCCTTTTCCTCGGAGGGCCCCAGACCCTGCAGGTGCCGCCGTCAGAGGCGTGTTTGGCCGAGAGGGGCGCCTTTGCTCCTTCTGACGCATGTCGGGCCTCCACGTGAACTGTCTTCGGGTGCCGGTCCTCAACGGTGCTCCTGTGAGCATGGAGCTTGACTGCAGCTCCGGTGTCATTTTGTGGGCATAACCCCGCCCCCCAGATGCCTGTGATCCCTGAATGTGTTGGGCCGCTGTATTGACCTCACTGCATTTTCCCCCCTGCCAGCAACTGCTCCGGGAGATGCAGCAGATGGCCAGCCGTCCCTTCGCTTCCATCAACGTTGCCTTAGAAACGGATGAGGAACCCCCGGATCTCATTGGAGGGAGTGTGAAGGTGAGTGGGCCATCCCAGCAGGAGGCATTCTGGTAGTCCGGGTGCATGGATGCTGCGCCGCTGGACCAGGGAGAAGCAGGGCGGGGAGGGCCCACGGCTGCGTTAGAAGTCCAGCCACGGCAAAGTCATAAACACCGGAGACCCAACAGGCCCGTTTTTGATCTCGTTTTCTTTCTCCGGGCTGCTCGTTTGCATCTTTCAGGTAATGTTGGTTTAAATAAAAGTTGCAGCTCTTTTTAAAAAGATTTTTATGCCTGGTAATCAAGGAGGATACAGTTTAATATGGCAGAACAGTTGGTTGGAAATAGCTGTAGGTGCTGCTAATAAAACCTCCTTTGCAAAGTCTTCGTGGCGGGAGGGTGCGGGGGGGGCGGGGAGACTAACTGGCTCTGTGTTATGCAAGTCTTGGGGATACAAGTGTTTACAACGAAAGGTGATGCCTTGGAGGGGTGGGAAGGGGGGCAGCAAATCAACAGCCCCCACCTGCAGTGCTGGCCCAGGAAGAGGCATGGGGCCCTGGGAAGGGACATGGGGTGGGGTGGCCCCTCTGGCAGGCTGCCCTCTGCAGGCGTGAATCCCTGGGCTTGGGGGGGAGACTGACCAGGGCTCGGAGGCGGAGGGCTAATTTTCCATTTCACAACAGGGGAGGGGATCCCCAGGTGCTTCCTCCTCTTGTTTCTGATTGGCTCGCTTGCTTACAGGGCATGCGCGCCACTCCTGGGCTGCGCCCCCCCTCACCACATTAAGCAAGCCCTGTGCTGTGCTTGGCCCACGTCATTGCATTCGATAAATTACTCAGGGGGAGGCTGGGATACCAATAGGACAGATGGCCTCTGTGCAGCCCCCGGTCTTCTCCCGGGACTCGTTCTTGGCCGGAGTTGCAATAAATCGCCCTCGCGCTCTGCAGCTGCCAAGGACTGGTAGCAACACCACTCACCTGGCCAGGCAGTGCTGGAGCGTGGCTGTGGGCTGTTGAATCGGGAAGGCCCGCTCTGCCCCAGCTCCAGGGCTGGGCACCGCACCACTGCACCCGGTCTGGACTGCTGGGGCCACCTGCAATTTTCCCAGTTGGCTGAGGACAGGGAGCTGCTGGGGCAAGAGGCAGGAGTAACTGCCGGAGGGGTGGGAGCAGCGCGGGAAGCCCCCATGGAACAGCTGGCCGCCTCTGTAGCTGCTCCCCCCGCCTGTCCAGTCCATGCAATAGGCCCTGGGAGTTCCGTACCAGCGAGTGAGAACTGGGAGCCCTTGTTCCCTGGAGGTCTCGCCTGCTGCGTATCTACCTGGCTTTGCCTGGTTTGCTGGGTGGGGGCAGAGAGTCGGACCCCTGGTACTGCCTCCCTTTAAACATTGTCTCCAGGGTCCACTGAGGCGTGCTTAAGCTCTTGTTTTGCTCTCGCTGCCACCTTCCTGCTCGTGCTCCTGACCAGCAGCTGCCTTCTCTTTGCGCCCTTCTCTTCCTGAACTGGGGAGCCCTGAGCACTGGGCATATCTTCATGGTTAATATAAAGCAGGCAGGCCTCACTTTGCATAAGAAACAGGATTAGGGAGTTCATGGCTGTACAAGCTATTAAAATTCTCCTCTGCATTTTTGTGGTATCTGTGACATGAACTGAAGTGACATGACTTCAGGGGGCTGGAAAATTGTCTGCCAGTCGCTCCTCAGCTCAGCGGGGGGAGAAGCACCAACCTCGGCTCCCCGCAGGTCCCCCCCTCCCTCCACTTGCTTTGCTTTGCTTATTTTATGAGCAGGTGTGGAAACCTCGCTCAGAACATCCTGCCTGAATGGTTTGCTCCTCTGCAGACTTCCAGGTCAGGCGCAAAGAGCTGGGGTGGGTTAGTCTGATGTGTGTGTTCTGCAGCAGCAGGGAGGGAAAGCTATTTGGATTTTCTGGCGCGAGTACCAGAATCTCTCGTGTTTTCATTACAGGTTGCTTCACTTGTACCCTTCTTTATTTCCGGTTATCTTTGGGCAGAGGCAAACGTTACCTCCGTTATGTGGAAATCATGATATCTGTGGACACCGTTTTGAGTGAAAAATTAGGGAAATAGATCACTGCCACATTCACACGTCCTGTGGAGCCATCACGAGGAGCAGTGCCCAAAAGATGCTTCCCATTTCTGCACAAAATGGCCGCCTCGGGGCACCCCGAAGCTCGGGCAGAGGCCCGAGAGCAGCTCCTGGCTTGCTGCGGCTCCAGAGGGGCGGGCGTGAGGGAGGACAGGCTGCAGGCCTCTGGGCTAGTCCTTTGCCCAGAGCCCTCCTAAGCAGCGTGATCAGGCTCAGCCGCCGCCACCCGTGCGCTCTCACATAAGGCGCAGAGCCTCCTGCTGCCCGTCAGCTGGCAACAGGCCCCCCCAGAAGAGCAGCTGGATGCCTCCCCTGCTCGTCGGACCTGCCCACCTGCTGCTTCGGCGCTCCCCGGCTGGGCTGCACCCCGCAGAGACCGCAGCGCTGGAGGTGATCCTGCAGGCAGGCATCGTGCGCAGCTTCGCGCTGCGGGGCCTGGCCTCCCTTGACTTAATGGTGGCCTTCCAGGTAGCAGGAAATGGATAGCTTGGATCAGCAGGGCCTTCCGCTTTCTTGTGCACGTGGCCAGCTGGCAGGTCAGGTTAAGCTCATTCCCTTTTAGGTTAACGTTTTGCAGCCGGACTCATTTCGAAGCCCTGCTCTCAATTAGTACGCTTCCTGCGGTGCGTGAGAAATGCGGGCGGGGAGTGATTTGCCCGGTCGGAGGCGCCTGCTTCTGAGCCACGGGGCGGGCGGCTTGGAAGGACTCTGGCCTCCCCTCTTTTCTGTTCCGTCTGTCCTGTGGGCAGCCGTTTTGGCTTGCTGTGAAGGCATCTGCCCCTCGCCAGCATGGTGCTTCACCTGGGCAGATGTACAAATGAACTTCAGATCTTATCCGCTTGTTTTGCCGTTCGTTACCAGTGAATGCAGCTTTTTCTGCAGTGTTACTTGGAATCAGATTTAGCGCCGAGCATTCTTTATCCAGTTATTCCAAGAAGACTATTGCTTTGCATTTGAAAGAGCTTTTATCATCCGTGGCTATGAAAGTGTAGTTTTTGATCTGAGATTAGTGAAGGTTTTAAGGTACTTCACACAGTGTGTTTGTTTCTTCTTTTCTTCTCTCCTCCCGTGGGTAGCAGCTTTTGAAAGGCATTTCTGTTGAGGAAATAAAAGGCAAATTTCCTGGAGAACCTATGCAGGTCCTCATATAATCTTAGAATCGGAAGTAGCCTGAAGGTCTTTTTGTATGCCATAAAGCAGACCCTCCAAAGTCAGCATCCCCCAACCATTCAGACCCACAGCAGTGGGGCCTGCGGGACCTGTGGGTCACTGCGGCGTCTCTGTTCCGCCACTCCAGGCACGCCAGGCGGATGTGCAGCATTTCCCCCAGCCGGTCGTGTGTGGCAAGCCGAGGGGGCCTGCGGCAGCGGACAGCAAGCTGCCTGGGGTCCCTCGGCGGTGGGGGGGGCCTGGCTTACTGTCCCCGGTGTGACCAGTGCTCCCACAGCCCCGTCACATGGTGGATGGCGGGGAGGGGAGGCGCCGCCGTAGCCGGTTCCCCCCTGCAGTCGTGCGAACCGGGCCACTGTGGGTCAGCTCGCGTGTCACGATGAGAAGCCCTGCTGGGTCGCAGCCCAGGACCTGGCACGCTCTGCCTCCCGCTTGCCCCCAGCGGGGGCGCCAGGGCCTGCGTAACACAACACGTCTGCACTGTCGCTGGGGCAGCAGCCCCCACCCCCCCACACCCTTCCTTTCTCTTGTCTTGTGAGGCACCTGTGCTGCCCTCTTGCCGTATCTTGTCGGAAAGCTGCCTCTTGGCTAAGGGTGAGGCGGCTGAAGGCGCGACAGGCACAGGTGGGCCTGTCGTGAGCGGAGCCAGCTGGAGCCAGGGGTCGGACTAGATGCCCGGGAGGCCCCTTCCGACTCGCTCTGTCTCTGTGTTTCTATCTTCTTTCTTGATGAACACTGGAAAGGGCCCCCTGGGTGGCTTCCCAGAGCCAGAGGTGGGAATCGCTCTAAATTGGTGTCCTGCAGCAGCGGGGAGTGGACCTGGTGGCCTCCATGAACCCTTTCAGATCTTCTGTCCTATGATTCCTAGCACAGCCACATGCGAAGGCTTGGTTGATTTACCTCTGAGTAAGAACGTGTGGCCCCAGCTCTCCCCGCTGCTCCTTTTCGCGCCCCATGGATGGGCAGGGCATTAAAAAAGAAAAGTCAGAGGCCAGTCACACATGCGTGCGCAGCCTTGCTCCCTGTGCGCTCTCCTCCCGTGCTTTGGGACTGGGACTTCTCAGACTGTGGAAGGGGTCATCTTCCCCCCAGAAGAAAAATGTAATGTAATCATATTATTAACGTAATTATATGATTTGTCTGTCAACTTTTGACTAAGGAACAACACTTAAGGTGACTTACCATATATAAGTAAAACTTGATGCAGTAATAATAAAACAAAGACATTAAACACAATGACAAACAACGCTAACAATGTGAGCACGGCATCCAACCCAGCAGACCGACTGGCACCCCAAACCCCGTTGGAATAAGGAGGCCTCTGCCTGCTGGCAGAAGGAGCCAGCCTAGCCTCCTGTGGCACGGAGTTCCTCCGGGTGTAGCCCTGGAGGAGGCTGTGTCGACCCCGGGCCGCCTTCAGATGGCTCCAGGCCCAAAGGAGGACCTTTTGCGCTGGCTCAGGTGAAGCGATGAGCAGAACATGCACCGAGAACTTGTGTGGCTAGAGAGCATGCTCTTGTTTGGCTTTTCAGGCCGCTGGCCTCCCTTTGCAAGGCTGCGGTGCATTTGTTCAATTACAGGCACTTGTTCAGGGGCTGCCATGGTGGAGGACCCATCCCGCGAGACGCCCTCCCTCAGTGACCGGTCGCTGCAGGGGAGTCTGGGAATCTGGGCCCACGGGATTCGCCAGCTGAACGGGCCTAGGCAGGTCCTTGGAGGATGAGTCTGTGAGTGGCTCTTAGCCAGGATCCTAGGATGGCAGCTCCCGCTCAGAGGCAGCACATGGCAGCTGGAGAAGGGGATGGCCTTGGGACCCTGCAGAGGGGCTTCCCAGAGGCAGAGCCCGTGGCCAGAGGCTGCCCTCCTGGCCCCGTGGCAGTACCGTATGATTAATGGAAGCGGACTAACGTAGCCAGGCTTTTCGGCAGCACCCTCTCCGGCGGTTGTCCCACTTGAAGAGCCTGCAGGGGAGGCAAGCCATGTACCTGGCCGGGGTGGGTAGGGCAGACGATCACCGTTAAAAGGAATATTTTGTGGAATTGTTGTTTTTGTTAATTTCCCCCGCTCCTCTTTCGTTCAAAGAAGGTGTTTCTTAACCTCTGGGTTTTGCTGAATGCTCAGTTTAGGCGAAGGGGTGTCCCAGTATGTTTAAGTATCTCAGCCCATAAGTTGCACTGCCAAAAGGCTCCCCAGAGGAAGAGAAGGGTCTGAGTCGGGGCCGGCCGGCCGGCCTGGGAAGAGCTCCCCAAGACACCTCCATCCTGCAAGGCGTGTGATCAGAGAGAAAGAGAAGGGAAACTTCATAGCACATGAGGCCGGTTGGGTTAGGAAATGGGATGCCAGCATGTATTTCATTTCTGAGCTGCCGAATAGCCAGAGCTCTCGGGGTGGTTCACAACCACCAGGGCGTGCTATTTGGAGGGAAGGGGCAGCTGGCAGAGACACCTGCAGGAGGAGCATGGGAATCCAAGCCCTGCAGAGCTGCCACCGTGGTGCCATGTTGAACCGACACGGGTCCCATGGTGCGTCCCCATCCGCCTCCTCTGGGGCAAAGCAAACCGGGCTCCTGAATTCCCTGGGGATTGAAAGGGAAGACTCGAGGAAATGAAGAAATAGAAGTTACCATGCCAGGACGGCGGCTTCATGTCGCGTTTCCTTGCACCGTCCACTGTTGTGAGAAACATCCTCGTACCAACGGCGCCTCAGAAATAAAGCAGCTCATCCTTGCTCTGGCCTGATGGTCAAAATCGGCTCCCACCTATCCAGAAGCTTTGGTTGGCTGGCATGTTTCTTTTTAATTAGTGGGCTAAATAGTACATTAATTAAAATATAATTAAAATGATCACAAACCTAAATGTGTGCTCTAAGTTACTGCTTGGACATCTGGCTTTCGTTCCTCCCCATTCTCTTCTACGGTTCTTCGGTATCACTGCTGCGCATTATGTGCAAAGCGCATGAAAAGCTCTGAGTGTGTGGAGGAGGGAACGGCTTGGCTCTGGACGAAGACTTGACACTCGTTGAAGGCTCACTCATTAAATTCCCACGTTCCACCCCCACACGCTCATACCCTTTCCTTCGAGCGGAGCACAGCATCTATTCTGCCTGAGCTGGCCTCCTTCCTTTTGCTTTTTTGTGGGTGGCGGTTTGGGGTGGGGGGGAAATGCGACTGAACGCACTCTGCTGGATTGGCGTGTGTGTGCGTGCACGTGTGCGTGAGTGTGTGTTTTCATTCTCTCGGTGAGCTGGAAGCCACCACGGGCGATGTATTGCTTGACGATTCCTGGCACTGCGTGTCCATTAGTTCTCGTAATTGAGTTCCACCAGAATATATGGCGCAAGTTTGTTTGCTGCTGCTTTTGTAAGAAAAGAATTATTTTGAACTTTAGCAACTCTGTGGGGAGTGGAGGCTTCAAGGCACAGGCTGCTTTAAATACCAGCTTCCCCTGTTGTAGGCAGTAAAATACTTTGCAGAGACTAATCCATCAGTGTCTTTGTTATCCATTTAATACTAGAGATGTGTAGAAGCACTAATTTTGTTTTTGCTCTCTGTCACTGCCTTGTTCGTTAGGCATTAGTTAACTTAATGGTAACTTTGGTTCCTTCTCACTTTCTTTTAATGTATTTAGTTTGAGTTTTTGTCTGGCCCATAAGTACAGTATTATAATGTCATGCCTAATGAAATAAGCAGTAAGTGCTTCATTTAGGACAGCATAAAAGGAATTGGCTTGACGCTGGAACAATAACAAACAGCATGTTTTTTTAAGGCTCTTCTGTTAGTTTGCTTCCAACTTTGGGTAACAAGAGTGTTTCCAGCTACTTTCTGTTGAAAACGTGCTGCTACTTTTAATGGATGTTCAAGTACGGCACCATATTACCTTTTTCAATTTAATTACATGCCCCATTAAAATGAGCCACTGATCTATCAAAATGAAATATAGTGAAAAAAGCCTCGTGCTTTGTGTTTTCACCATTTCTATCATGGGGTCTTGCGAGAGCTCAACTTGGTATAAATTAGATGTGACTCGGAAACCTCTGAAGAAGCAGAAGAGCAAAACTGTGGCGTGAGTGGAAAGACAAGAACGTCTTGCGAAGTCTAGATTGCCACTTACGAGTGCGACTTGCCCTCATATTTCCCCTCCAAGGAATTTGCTGACTGAGTTACCGCACACACAGGCTTGTGGCTTGATGAGGAGTCCTTTAAGACAAACCAAAGCAAGTGGATGAATAACTAAGTGATTACAGATAATAGCAGACATGGTAATGAATTCCTTTGCTTAACGCAGAAACCAGCAAGGGCGTTGCCTCCATTCCGACCCGTGAGCACCTCTCACCTCCCCGTCCGTTCGCTTGGGTCAGGTGCGCTGTAACTTGCATGTAGTGAGGGGGAAGGTGGGCTGTGGCCGGGTGTCTCCAGTGCTCCAGGCCAAAGAGGTGAACCACGTGGTGTCAGCTCGCTCTCCTTTTTTCTGTGGCAGACTGTCCCTAAACCCATCGCGCTGGAGCCCTGCTTTGGCAACAGAGCTGCTGTCCTCTCAGTATTTGTGAGGTTGCCGAGGGGCCTCGGAGGGATCCCCCCGCCGGGGCAATCAGGTAAGCAGCCGCGGTGCTCACACAGCACAGTCCTGGCGTCCTCTCGGGGCAGCTCTGGGGGCAACCGACGCCTTCCCTGGCACGGCCATATTTGGGGCCCTGGTTCAGCTTTGTCCGTGGACATCCCCGGAGACAAGCATGCAACGGCTGAGCTGGATAGCTGGCATGCCGCGCCCCCAGCGCAGTGCGGCAGGCATCCACAGCCACGCCTCAGTGGGGACCCTCGGGGCTGGGGCAGACTCAGCCCGTCTGTCGCCCCAAGTGGCCACGGCCCTCTCCCCAGTTCCCCGGCCTTCGCAGAGGCTTCCTTGCTCTGAAGGGCTGGGCTGGGCTGGTTGCGCCGCCAACTAAAATATGCCGCACCCCCTCTGCGCCTGAGCACCCGCCACCAGAGCGCACCTGACGCTGAGTGGAGCCCCTGGGTGGAGCCCCGTCCTGTGAGGTACACAATTGTTGCGGATACATCCTCTGGTGTGGGGAGTAGGCAGACATCCAGGGTGTTTGGGTATCTTCCTTATCACCTGTGATACCAAACCATCTTCCCATTACAGAGTCGTTCTCCAATGCCTCGCCCCAGTTTTTTTTTTTTTTTAATGCACTAAAAGGCAATTGTGGTAGTGCTTGGCGGCGAGGGGGGGTATCTCACAACCCCTTCTAGTATAGAGTCGGTCCTGCACAGCCTCGGGATAGACGCAGGCCCGGCCTGTCCCCCTGCGGAGCAGTCAGTGCAGAGCACGCTGTCCCCGAGACGAGCGCGAGCCGCGTCCCGGGTGGCGCCTGGCACCCCCAAGCCGCGCTGGGAGGAGGGCACTCAGCTCCTCGTGGACGTGGAGCACCGTCTGTGGAAGCAGCCGGGTGGCTTGCCCTGGAGCTGTGTCACCCCAGAAGGCCCTTCGTTCCCCTTCAGGAAGCGGGCACTCCCCCTGGGCTGCCCCTGGAGGTGGTGCCTTGCTTTTTCGGAAAGCCTCATCTCTGAGAGCGGCTGGCCGGCTCCCACTGCATGCAGGGACCCAGTGGGCCAGAGAGGGCCGAGTGCACGAGACAGAAACTTCCCAGGGCCCCCAGCTGGCCAGATTTATTTATTTATTTGTTTGTTTAAAACATTTCTATGCCGCCCCCATCGCAACAAAGCCTTGGGGCGGCTCTCAAAAATGTGGCCTGCTTGTGCCATAATCCAGCACTCCTTTTTCTCCAGGTCTGGCGGTAGCCAGCGCTTTGGTGGACATTTCACAGCAGATGCCGATCGCCTACAAAGAAAAATCAGGAGCCGCACGGAATCGCAAACAGCAGCCTCCAGCCCAGCCCGGGACCTGTATTTGATGCACGGACATCAGAACTGCCCGTTTCGGGTTTTAAAAACAAGGGAGGGTGAGGAGACAGACTAAACCATTGCAAAGCTCAAGGAGACCTCGGAGCACCCGGGCGTGGCTTCCGGAGTGCCCAGCCCTTCCCCTCAGCACCGTCTTAGCTGGCTTCTTTGGTCATCTACTCCATCCTGGGTTTGCCGCTCCATTGTACCGTATGGCTCCACGGTTTTTGTTGCTCTCCTCTGTCCAGTTAAAGGCCATTTATTGCAAGTCCGTTAGCATCTGCCTCCCCCTGTGAAGGCCGACGGGAACTGGGAAGAGCCACGTGAGGACAAAGGACTCTTGGCTTTTATATGTGGAAAGTGCTTTGTGGTACTCGATTTTTTTTCTAGGTCGTACAAGAAACAATGCAGCACTTAACAGATAATTTTCTGCCCTCAGCAGTTAAACTCTAGGATTTAAGGAGAAGCTAACTGAATTTTCTCCGGGATCCTGATGTTATGAACATTCTATTTATTTCTTTCTTACGTAGAGCTCTCTTCCAAACACAATATATTCCTTCTTTTGGGGTTATGTTCGTAGCTTTATTTTCATTCCCGAAGTCAGTGGTGGAGTTCAGTGGGGTTGGAGGTTCTCTGTTGCTTCACCTGCACCTTCTTTCCCAGGAGGATTACGTTGTTTCAGGGAGATTCCTGCAGTGGTGATTATATGTCCAGGTGTTCCAAAGTTTTAAATAGAACCGGGGAGCATGGGATTGGCGCAGCCGGGCGCTCCCATAACCACATCCCTCTTCCCACTCTGGGCACTCGTGGCCTTTTCGGTTCTGCATGCATCTGCCAGTGCAGAGCCTGTTTCAGGCTGACGGGAGGCTGATCGTGCGACGGAGGGAGTGCAGTGCAGTCCCTCGTTGACCCCTTTCTGCAAGGAGTGATTCTCAGACCCATAGGAAGGGCACTTCCTGCATTCTGGAGATGTGCTTCCAGGAACTGCTTCTCTGCCCATACCGATGAAGAACCCCTCGCGTCAGGCAAGCGAACGTGCAGGCTCCGTGCGCCTACGGCCCGGAGAGAAGCTGGCAGGCTGAGCTGTGGCTCTCCGCAGTCCCTCTTGGGCCTTCAGTCTGTGTCGCGAGCAATACTGATGCAGCTTCCTGTCGGACCTACTAGGGTGCCTTTGATGGGACAGGCTTCCGTTGATTCGTCCTTGATCCGTCCTGGGAAGTTCGCACTGTGGCATGGTCTGGATGAAGATCGGAAGGGAAGTGAGGCTGCACTGGCCGGCGGGGAGAGAAGCGAGGTCCCGGAGACCCCAGAGCATCTGCGTTGCATCGCAGAATCAGCACTCAGGTTTCCTTGTTCTTAACACCTCTGGAGTTCCCTCTGAGAAGCGTCCGTGTGTGTGTCTGGAGGAGAGCAACGCAGCTTCCAGGAGGAAATGAGAGCTGCAGAGGTGCCCCGTGTTGCTTCAACTGTGTTCAGCTTGCCAACGAAGCCTTGGCGATTGCCGGACAGCGCAGGCCCTTCTGCTCCATAAGGAGGTCTCGTGAGTCGTTCCATGAGCCGTAGCAAGAACTGTACCGCAACCGCATTCGTGTCCTCCGATGGATCGGGGCTGTACGGGAGCCTCGCTGCACATGCGTGGATCCGTCAAGGCTGCCCTGTCCCCGCCGCGCTGGTTCTGCTCCCGGCCAGTGGCTGCCCCCACTGGAAAAGCCCTGGGCAACTGAGGGTCCTGCCCAGCCTGGACACTCCTGGAGCAGGGCAGCTGCCATCTCTGGCGGACAGAACTGCATTATGCTGTCTATGGGACCGCCATCCCACCCCCTTGCTCACTTCGCACCTGCACGCAGACTCTCACAGAAGCACACAGGGCCAGCTCCCTGGGCCCCTACACCCCAGAGGGATGTGTGTTCCTCCACCAGCCGCAGCTGTTACCTGGGGCGGAGAAAGGCCCTAAGGATCATGTCGTGATTTGGAGGAGAGATCGTTGTGTGAGGGGGGAGCCGTTTTTTCTGAAGGCATGAGGGCCCCACGTCGCTCCCTCCAAGGCGTCATCCTGCAGGAACGTCCGCCGCTTCCACCTTCATTCCTGAATGCAGACCAGTATTACAGCTGTCTTTTGAGTGGGTTGTGAGGGAGGGCAGAATGGGCCGACACGGATTTCGTAGTCTTGTTTGGGGGGGGGGGCGGCCCTGGGGTTTTGCTACTGGAACAGCCAAATTCTTTGCATCTCTTAACAAAAGCGTGGTGAGTGACCAAAGCTCCTGCTTTTGGGTGGCCTGTGCAGAAGGGTTGCAGCTGTGCGTTTTCCAAGATCTTCACTTAGCGAACCCCACAGAACCAGCATCTCTCTGCTTTTTTCCAGTGAGTTTCCTTAAACCTGCACATGCCCTTGCCAAGCTGGGGGTGGTGGGAATGTTTCTTTTAAATCCTCCTTTAGTCTTGAAAGGAATGCACAGAATTACCCGAGTTTTTCCTGAAAAGGATTTGACATCTCTTCACTCATGACCATGAACTGCTGACCATGAAAAAGAACCGGGTGCTTGAAATACCTCAGTTTCCTTGCCTTGGACCAGCTCTGGCGGTTTTTCAGCAGGGAACAGAGCCTAGAGGTGCCACGGTTTGGGCGACGCAGGAGTTATGAACCAGGCCGGCCAGCTTCACGCTCTCCGCGCTCCCGTGGGGCCTGATTCCCCCTTCCTGGACCATCAGCTGTTTGGTCTGTTCAAGGAGGCCTGAGTATAGCTTCTTTTGAACACTCAGGAGCAAGGGGGGTGTCATGAGGTTTTCTTCCTCCCCCCACCAACTCAGCTGGAACGGGAACTCCCAGTCCCTTCAGCGATGAATGTGTCACCCCCCACCCACCCTTGAGATTTGCACTTTGCTCCAGTCGTGGGAGGCAGGCAGAATTAATCCAGCCCTCGGGCAGAGCGGAAGAGCAGCATCTGGGGGCACCCGTCGTTCAGAGGCCCCTGGTGTTCGCTCTGCTGGACTCAGAGCCTGCCTCATGGGCCCCTCAGCCAGACGGTTTCATCTCCCCCTCAGAGGTCGGATGCCGGCTTGGTGGCTGGGGTGGAGGCCCATGAGCTTGCACAACGCGGCTGTTGATTCACCCCCCAACCATCGGGGTCTTTAAACAGCCACCTTCTCTTGTACCTGCTGATGATCCGTCAGTTTAAAAAAATGGCAGTGCTGCCTTGGCGTTTGCACATGAGAGTTCAAGAGCCACATGCGACATTTCGAGAGCGCCTCGTGCCTGCATTTTGGGTGCATTCAGGACAGCGGATGGGCTCCGTCTTGCTCTGTCAGGAGCGCATGTCCGAGTGTCAGTGCTGCCGCGCTTTCAAGCTGCCTGCTTATCGGAGCTCCTGGCAGACTGCAGAGTGGAGCAGAGGGGGCATCCTGTTGTAACTGTGCCCACATTCACAAGCCCAGAAGCATGTCCCGCGCAAGCAAGCGACCCCGGCCCAGTGGGATTTGCCCTTGGGGAAGTGTGCTACCCGAATGGACTCGCTCTGGGCCTTCTGTCAGCGCTCGTGCCATTTAGCGGATGCTGCCGGCAGGAGGGCCGAGGTGCATTTGAAAAGGGGTGGCCAAGCGGGGCTTAGAAGGTGTGAGGCTCCGGAGGCAGCTGGGTTTGGGGTCCCTGCAGGAACGCGCCTTGTACCTGGAGAGGACGTGGCCTTGCTCATTGGCGTGGCTTGCTGGCTTTTCCCCCTCCATTGCACATTTACTCTGGCAAGCGTGGCCAGTCTGGAAGTCAGGTGCCATTCGGGTGCTGGTCAGAAACTGGTGCGCCAGCTGGGCGGGGTGTCCTCGGTAATGTCGTTGGCACACCCTCCCGAGATGTCAGGCCAAAAAAGTGCCACATCGCAGAGGCCAAAGTACCAGGCTCCGAGAACGAGTGAGCGAGCGAGTGAGCGAACAGGAGCCTGCCTGGGCTTCTCTCTCTCCCCGAATCTCCTCCATGAATAATGTACCTGCCTGTGGTGAATTGCAAGTGCTGAAGGAATGACAGGCTGTGAAAACACTTCTTGACAGGCACCCATTTCCTTCTAGTTACCACGCATACTGTATGGAAAAAAATCCCCCACAGAGACTGCCTGTGTGTGAGAATGTATTTTCTTGGTATCCACATGCTTTAAAATTTACTGTCAAAGGGGGCTTTGATGAAGTGCGTGTTCAGGAAAGAAAGAAGCAAAGGCCAGGATCTTGGCTGTGTGTCAGCGTTGGGGGGAGAGACTGAGCTGCGAACCCAGAAGTGACTCTCGTCTCTGCCATGACTGCTCTAAATATGAGGATCATGTTGGCCTCCCTTGCTGGGCTGTTGTACAGCTCCCTGCGATAACGCCTGCCATATGTTTCAAATATTTGAGTGCTATATATTTTTTCCTAGGAGGAGCAAGCACTAACCTTCACCCTACACCCTTCCTCCACATACGTCACAGCAAGATGGCCAAACTCCCGGATGCCCCCGTACCTCACATGAATCAATTTCTCCTCTCGGCCTCATTGCAATAAGTAGCCATCCAGCCATCCACACGTTTCCTCCTGCGTCTTGGCCGTAGCCCAGCTTGCCACCGCTTCCTGCCCTGCTTGGGGAAGGAAAGGCAGGCGGTTCGTGTGCGTCATGAGCAGGTGTGGACCGTCCTTCTGGGCCTTCGCAGCCTTATGCTCTCGAAAGCTGCCCTGGGTCCTGGCAAGAAGCAAAGAGGTGGTTGAAGTCACCACAATCACGGCCAGTTCCTCCCGTCTCCCCCAAAAGTGTCTGAGTGTCACCCAGTTTTCCCCAGAGGGCAGCCAAGTCTGGACCTGCAGGCTCAGTTTCCCAAAATTCCGGGAGGAATAGCTTTGGTTCTTTGAAGGGAAGGAGGGAGGGAGTCCAAAACTTCTCTGTGTCTGCCTTGGTTGTGTAGGAAGCGGTGGCTGCTGGTTGTGCGGTGGGCCGCTGGTTCAGCAAATGGACCTGTAATTGAGGCCTCCAAGCGCAGACCAGGGAGGATCCTGCAGCATCCTGGTCCTTGACAGCCGCCACGCCGGCCTGCTGGATGAAGCAGCTTGCCGAAAGAGCCCTGCTGCCTCTTCGGGAGCCATCCAGCTTCAGCTGCAGGTATCCAATAACCTCCGACCATAGCCAGGATCGATGCAGGCCTCTCCTCCTTTTCCAACGCCCTTCGAAATGAACGGAACACAGGTCTGTGGTTGTGACATGACCCTCCTTCCATGTTTTCCGTGGGACCTGGCCACAAACGACTTTTAATGGGATTGCCTTCTGGAGACGCGGGCCGGCTCTCCTCACAGCAGCCCTGCTGGTCTCGCGGTGTCTTTGAGGGCCACCTTGCGGACGCTGGCATCGGTTGCTGACCCCTGACCAGCGTCCGAAGATGAATGCAGGGCTGGGCACCCCACCGCCACTTCCCCTGCCTAAAACCTCCTCCCATGACCCTTCTCTCCTCCTCGCATCTTCCTCATGCTGAGTGCTTTTGACACTTTGGTGTTGGTCCCTTGATGTCAGAAATCTGCTCCAATATCCAAGCTGGGATGGGGAAATTAACTGAAATTTGTCATGGTGAA